ACACACACACACACACACACACAAAATAAATAAATAAATAAATAAATAAAAATAAAAAGTCCTGCCTGGATGCCAGGCACAGTAGCTCACAGCTGATAGGAGACTAAAGCAGGAGCATCGTAATTTCAAGCCCAGCCAGCAACTTAGTGACTTAGCAAGACCCTATCTCCAAGCTCAAGGGCCTGAGTTCAATGCCTGGTTCCGGGGTGGGGGATGGGGGAAAGACCCTATCTCCAAAATAAAAAGCAAAAGAGGGCTGTGGCTGTGGCTCAGTGTGGATACTCTGAGTTCAATCCTAAGTATGACAAAGAGACAAGAGTACTGCTTGAGAAATGTCTAGGCCCTAGAAACTGTGCAGCAGTCAGTTATTATCTAGAGGCTGCCAAGAGAGATAACAGCCTTCCTTGAAAGCTAAGATTGTTTTTTTTTTTTTTTGTTTTTTTTTGTTTTTTTTTGCGGTACTGGGGATTGAACTCAGGACCTTGTGCTTGCCAGGCAAGTACTTATTCTACTGGGCTATCTCCCCGGCCCAAGCTAAAGGTTTTGGAAGCTGCTACCTAAGTGCACACCTGCAGCCACAGGGCAAACTCTGTCTGTACTGATCTGTGCAGCCAGCCCAGTGCAGACAGGAGAATGGAATGGCACAAGCACAGGAAAGACATTGGCTGCAGTTATCTCAGAGGTGCTGGGAATTTAAAGCAAAACTTCCATCTCAGGGTCCAAAAGCTAAGATCCAAAGATTCAGCTCTAATTTGGGAATCTGCCACTTAAGGATGTATGACTTCAGTCGACTCTTAACCTCTATGGGCTTTGAATATCTCCTCAGCCACAGTGGCTCTTCAACCGGCGCAAAGGTTGCTGAAATAATGTACCTAAGAGCACATAAGCTGGACATGGTGGTGCATGCCTGTGATCCCAGCAGGGCTGCCTCAAGTTTAAGTCTGGGCTACACAGTGAGTTGAAGGCCAGCCTAAACTACAGTGAGACCCTGTCTCAGGAAACCAAAACCCAAATAAACAAACAAATGAACAAAAATAAGTCCTGAAAACAACAAAGCAACTCTCAACCACACAAATGATCTTCAACTCCTGCTTAACTGTAAATTTCTTTTCTTTCTTTCTTTTTTAAAGCTTGTACTTTTGGGCTGGAGGGATGGCTCAGTGGTCTAAAGTACCTACTTGAGAGGGCTGGAGAGATGGCTCAGTGGTCTAAAGCACCTACTTGGAACAAGCTTGGCAAAGCACAGGGACCACGGTTTCAATCCCCCAGCACCACATGCCAGCCAGCTGCGCCCCCTGGTGGGCTGAGCTGGCCACACACACACACACACACACAAAATAAATGAATGTAAAAAATAAATAAATAAATAAAGCTTGTGCTTGCCAGGCAGGTGCTTATGCCACTGAGCTATATCCTGGCTCAACTATAAATTACTTTTAATTTTTAAAAAAATTTTAGGGCTGGGTGAGATAGCTCAGTGGACTAAGCACCTACCTTGGCACGCACAGGGACAAGGGCCTGATCACTGGTCCTGCATGCTATGCCAGCCCCCACCCTGCTGAGCCCACCACTGAGACTGGGCATGGTGGTGCACATCTGTAATTCCAGCTCTGGGGAGGCTGACAACAAGAAGATCACTAGAGTACTAGCTGCGTAGTCACTTTGTATCAAATACATAAATGAACAAAAATGTTTTTGTTAGTACATGCTTGCAGTGCATAATGATCATAGCCATTGCAGGGAGTTGGTTTACATGCACATCTTAATTCTTTTTACTTCTTCCCTTACTTTTTCCGTCTTCCCCTTCAGTATATATTTCTGAAAGCTACAATACAAAGCATTTCAAAATTTCATGTAACATACCTCATATTATAAACATACAAGTATTGCCTCTGTGTCTACGTCCATAGGACTCACCAGCCTTGTATCCTTGGTCAAAGGCTTTCTTCTGTCCCACCTTCAACATCTCCCTGTTGATGTCACAGATCATGACCCGGGAACCACCCAAGGGATCGTCTTCATTCTGATACTTTTTGGCAATTTCCTCCCAGGATAAATTTTGCTGGGCCTTTAACTGCCTCTTCTGCTTTCTTTGATACTGTTCCTGAACATAATTAAGGAACCGGAATGCAATGTCACCTGTGGGATGCCAAGAGAAAAAGCATGCAAACAAAAACAAAAACTGAAAAATCAGCATTTTTCAAACAGAAAAGAAGCAACAAAGGTATAGGACTGGATGAGTGTACAAAAATGAAAGTTTGGAATGGCAGGGTGGCTCACAGCGCTTGCCTAGTGTGTTCAAGGCCTTGTGCTCAACTGCAAGTCCTGAAAAAAAATTAAATAATTTTTTTTTTAATGTATTTAGTAAAGGGTCTACAGGGTCTCATTACACAGGTCAGGCTTATAGTGATCCTCCTGTTTTCAGCCTTCCAATTGAGCCCCAACACGCCCAGTCTCAATTTCTGTCTCAGCATGCCCTAGAGGCAGAGCTGACATGGCACAACCAGGAATCGAACCCCGGTCCCTGCGCTTTAGTCCGCTGAGCTACCTGGCTGGCCCTAAATCTTCTAAATGAAAGAAAATGGAAGTTTAAACTTCTTTAATAATCCTTTCTTTAAACAATTTTTAACTCCTAAGGTTTTTTGTCTTTTTTTTTTTTTTTTTAAAGACAAGGTCTTTCTATGTAGCCCAGGCTGGCCTCAAACTTCTGGCAATTCTGTGTTGGCCTCCTACATGCTGGGATTGCAGGCATGTGGCACCGTGCCTAGCATTCCTAAAATTCTTTAAAATCTTTTATAAGGGGCTGGGGAGATGGTTCAGTGGCATAAGCACTTCTGGGGCAAGCAGAAGAGCCTGAATTCAATCCCCGGTTCTGCAAAAAAAACAAAAACAAAAACCAACTTTTATAAAACATGGCTAGGGCTGGTGAGATGGCTCAGTGGTCTAAGGCACCTACTTAGAACAAGCTTAGCAAAGCATATGGACCGTGGTTCAATCCCCCAGCACCACATGCCAGCCAGTCCTGCCCC